AAATTTATCCTTTATGGTCAAGTCATTCAACTTCCTGTATTCCACACAAAATCTCCAGGAGCCATCTTTCTTAAGCACCAACAGAACTGGAGAAGCATAAGGACTTCGACTAGGCTGAATGTAATGAGACTCCAACATTTCCTTTACTAATCTATCCATTTCATTCTTCTGTGGGATTGAATATCTATAAGGTCTGAGATATACTAGTTGAGAATTTGGCTGCAGTGGTATGGTGTGATCACAGTCTCTTGCTGGAGGTAGACCTTGTGGTTTCCCAAACACATCACTGAAAACCTGTAGTACTGACGCTAAGAAGTCAGGTGGTTGGCTCTTCAGGCCACTAATTTCATTTAAGCTAGCAAGCTGATCCACAGCCTGGAAACTACAAAGTTGTCCCACAAAAGCAACTTCAGATTTGTCCCACAACCTCTGCAAACTTTTACCTGATATCAACTTACACTGAGCCATGTCTTGAATCCAATATAGCACCACTTTCTTACCCTGCCAGTCAAAAAATAGCTGCAACCCAATGAAATTGAACTTGACAGGACTAATAGTCTTCAGCCAGTCTAATCCTAGCACAACATCATTTGAATCCAAACTCAGAATCCTCATGTCATAATGAAACGTGTGCCCTTGCTTTTCCCAACAAAATCCCTTACAACCAAGTGGCTGAGTAGAACTGTTCCATCTGCCAACTTCACTCTTAAAGGGTTACTGGCTGGAACCAACTGACATTGTAATTCCTTTGCTTTCTTGTCACTAAGAAAAGTGTGAGTACTGCCTGTGTCCACCAATATGTAAATCTTGTCACTCTTAACCTTGCCTTGAACTATTAATGAGTTAGCCATTCCCCCACTACTCAGTGCCTGCATAGAAACATCCTCTAACTTAATTTGTTCAACCTCCAAACTGGGATCCCCCATATCTTCCTCGTCTGGGTTATGCCATGAATCATCATTGTCGTCATCACTCTCAGCCTACAAAACATTGAGCTGCTTCTTCGCATCACACACATGTCCAAAGAAATATCTGTCACCACACTTATAACACACTCCTCTCGTGCCATTGCCCTTCTGATTCATCATCGGGGATTTTGTTTCACCAGAAGGCTTGGTAGCAGAATTGTCCCAACGACGAGGATGTGTAGCATTGGTGCTGTTGGTAGCCACCATAGGACGGCTAGGAACTCCTTGGCTACTACGCCACTTCTTTTGGCGAGCTAGATTCGATGCCTCTTCCAACTGAGCAAACTAGAAAGCATCTGCAAGAGTCTGAGGTTTCCACATCTGCAAAACAGGGCGCAATTCCTCTTCCAACCCACTAATAAAGCTACTTATGAAATAGATTTCATCCAAAGTAGGGTTGAACCGAACCATTAATGAATGAAGTTCCTCAAATTTCTCCTGGTATTCAGCTAAGGAACCCCGTTGTCTGAGCTCATTGAACTCAGCCACCACACCCTTGTACGTGCGATTCCCAAATCTCTGGCATAAAGCGGCCACAAAATCTTCCCACACCAATTCACGTTTACCAATTTTCCATCATTCGATCCAGAGATCCGCACGACGTTGAAAATAGATCACTGTCAGATTCGCCTTTTGATCATTAGGAATACCATCGAACAATTTCTCTCATTTCGGCGTCCACTCACGAGGATCGTCGCCATTAAAAGACGAAAAATCGAGTCGGGGAAGCTGATTAAACTGATGATGATTACCTGGGCATGGAACTGGAATTTGTTCTCGCTCTGCTACTGGATTGATTGGAGCTTGAACCCTAGGTGCCTGTACCAAGACAGGGTCAACACCCTTGAACCCAACCCCGCTAGCCGTGGATTCACCACCACCTGAAGCATGTTACGGAACTCTTGTATGAATTGACCAAAATGATCGTCGATGCGAGCCTCCATTTCTGTGAAGCGTGTTGCCGAACTGGCCTCCATGGTGTACAAACGAGTCGTCAAAGTAATAAATTGTTGTTAATGACCGTTAGAACAAGTCATAATCTCCTGAAATTGAGTAGCTTGAGAATCCACCATACTCCGAACGTCGGCGATTTTGTCGTCGAGAACCCCCTGCGCATGATTTTTGGACGCCATTAAACTGGTGAGACGCTTGTCAATGGTGCTGCGTGTGTTCGTCATTGAATTCATGGAGCCAAGACGTGCTCTGATACCACCTTGTCACCCCTTGAGTATGGTGGATTGATGTTAGCCAATATACAAAACAATTTCATATATTAATTTTTGTTTTATCTATAGAAGGATTGTTGTCGATGCTTCATTTGAATTTCTGGAAGTTAATCAATACTACAGTTCTACATTTCTCGCATGTGAAAGTTGTTTCAAGTTTAAACATTTTCTTCTTTTATGTCTCGGGATGGTGGATTGTTCGCTTGTGGGAAGGTGACATCAGAACTCGTAATGGCTGATGGACTCATTTATATCTATATACTCTTGTCAATCTTAAGGGGAAGGTGACATAAGAACTCGGAAGGTGTGTTCTCCTCCAAATGTGATTCAGGTTCTCCTGTAGTAATGGTCTGGTCATTATTTATTTGTGGAACTGTAGTTTGTATGACAAAAAACATAGAGTTGGGTCATATTGTCTTTAATATTCATTGAAGTTGAATCATAATTTGGAACTGACGTCACCTATAAGAACATTACTAACAAAACAAGAAGCTACTGAATCGGTTAATCCACAAATGAATAATGACCATGTAGATCTACTCATGTAAAAGTCAATAATAGAAACAAAAATATTTACCTCTAAAAATTATTTTAGAGATAGATATTTGTGTCTTTAAAACGAGATACAAAGGCAGAATTATAACCACCAAAAAGAGATAATAGAGACCAAAATAATTAGAGCAGTATCTCTAGTCTCTACTTAGCTACAGATGACATCTGCATCAATATATGTCTCTATAGGACTATAGCAACAGCTCTACTTGAGACAAATGTATAATTTGTATATAAAGTTATATAGAAACAAATAAGTATCTTATAGAGACAAATTTCCTCTATCTCTATAATTCATTTTTCTTGTAGTGTCAATATAAAAAAATTCATTTTGAAATCCAACAAGCAAACATACAATTTGTAAAATCCAACATATATTAAAAATAGAAAAATCCAACATAATCCTTCAATCCCAAATTCACCAAAATCCTTTATTTTTTTAAAATCCCACAAACAAACTAACGCAAAAACATATTTTTGAGCTTATATTATTGATCAGTAGGTTGTGTAATGCTCATTAGATATTTGAGATACAAATTATAAACTAATTATACTAAAAAAAAATTATCAGTGACTAGAGGTTTTTGTTAGTAAAGACCATATTACTCTGCAAATGGGCTTTTGAAACGTCATGAAGTCATCGAGCTCCATTCCAAATACGAGCGTCACAAAAATAATCTTTGTAACGAGCCGCCTTAAAAGCTATTTTGTGACGGCTACAAGTTATCTCTAATGCGTCTTGAATTTGACAAAGTTGAAAGACTTTTTTCCGTCGTCAAAGAATCGTCGCAATAATTATAAATCTCTTCTGTGCTTGCATGTGTTGCTGCTGAGTTAGCCTCCAAAGCATGAAGTCTCCCTTTCGATTCAGCGACAATCCCCTCCTACCTGCAAATGTCATCGTGGATGGTTGTTTGGACTACAACCTAGAGGTTTTCAAGGCTAGCTTCAATGGAGTCGATTCTCTCCTTGTCAACGGTGGTGGGTTTGGGAGTCATTGACTCTGATACTAAATGTTGGAAGTGTTGGATTATGGGTGTGATACGGTTTTCTTTTGAAGCGAAAGTAGCTAGCTTGGCTTGTGAACTTCTTCAATTTTCTCTACAAATACTCGGTTGTTCTTTGTTGCTACATAGTCTCTTTATGTATACTAGTCTCAACGATCATTGTTGAGAAAACCACGTAAATCTCGTGTCTCGTGCCCGTGTTCCTGTCTGACAAATAAATTTTATAACTCTATATCTCAACTAGACTCAATTATTCCTTTTATTATATTTTCATTCATTTATGAAGTGTTTTCTCTATTTCTTCATGTAAAAGAGATAAATATCGACATTCTTTTTTCAAATAACATATAAGGATGGGTCGACCCATCCCTCCCCGTACCTAAATGGGTATTACACGACATGGCTCACACTTAGTACAAAACGTGTATGTATATTGAGTTACCACACCGCCTCTTTGCCATCACTAATTTCTGGTAATGTAATTCATAACAATAAGGACTTTGCTACGGTGACATGACTTGCACTTTTAGGTCGACCTCATATAGGATTAGGTCGACCTAATCTGCACTTTTAGATCGACCTTATATAGGATTAGGTCGACCTAATATGTCGTTTCAGTTTTGTGAGGTTCAACGACGTGGTTGACCTTTTATAGCAAATGGTCGGCCTCATTGGGAAGCGAACAGAATGAAAGGTCGACCCAAATACCTCATAGGCCAACCATTTTGATTAACTGAGGTCGACCGCATTAGTACGAGGTCAACCGCGTGCACACCGTATTCGTATTGGATAAGGATTCCAACACCAGAAAGGTAACCCTAACTTATCTACCACTTAATTCGACTCATTCTTGTCCTAAATATCTATAAATACGAATATATGTCACCTTCGTAGGAGAAGAAGTAGAAGGGAGAATGGAGAATCGGAGTTTGTAGGAGAAGAAAATGGCGGTGGAATTGGCAATGACGGAGAAGGAGATGATTTGCCGGAGGGTTTTGAATTGGGGAAGAAGAACAACAAAAATCGGAGGTTGAGTCAGAGAGAGGGGAGGGATTTTTTTTACAACCAAGAGAGTGAGGAATTGAAATGGAAAGTGAAAAGTTATTGGTGGTCTCCCCCTTTATTGGTAGTGTCTCCCCTTTGGCTTGGCTGGCTAGCCGGGTCATGCTTTCATTTAAGGGAAAATGGAGCCTTCCCCAAGCCAACAAATTACAACCATTCATTTTGTTTTTTTGTTGATGTGGCCGAATCCTGACCCTATGAGTATATACTCACGAATTTGGTTGTTAGCACAATAGCCGAATTGCCATGAGCCCATCATATTCTGCAACTGGGAAGTACGATGAGGCGAAGAGAGCGAGGAAGATGAAGCGGGTGGAGAAGGCGCCAGGTAGCAGCTCAATTGAGATTGGTAGTTTAGTTCACTTGTTTATTGCTGAAGAGAAAGCTCATCCATTAGTGGAAGAAATCTATTATGTTATGGAGAAGATGCGTACTCAGCCCAAAATTTCTTCTCCCACTTGACGGCTAAATTACACGTTTGGTCACTCAAATTATACAAATCTTTCACGTTTGTCACCCGAATTACTTTTCTTTCTTATTCGCCACTAACTTTACGAATTGTTTCACGGTTGGTCACCGGCCGTTACACTCCGTTAAGTCTGTCCTACATGGCAGTCAACTATAAAGTTTGACCGTTAACTAGATGAGGTGGAAATTAAAAAAAAATAAAAAAATTTCTTTCCACCTCATCATTGCACTTATTTTGTCTATATAATTTATCATATTAATAATTTAATAAAATTTAATAAATTACATCGTGGATTTTGTTCTTAGCCATCAAGAGACAGTTCCAGCAGTCGTACTCTCCTAGGTCTTCGTAGCAAACCGCGCCGCCTGTCGCCTGTCGGGGAGCCTGGGTTGCGATTCGGCATGTTGTGCGTGAACGATGGGTCGTTGTTCCTGTTTCTGTATCCGTACCTCGTCTGATCCACCAACGTATCCACGAGGCGCGCCACGTTGTGGTTGTAGAACTTGCTCTCGGATTTCCCCATGCAGTCTGGTCCCTTCATGATTGTCATGTCTGGGAATTTGTCGTGGTCAAGGCTCGAAACCATACCCAGAACAACGATAGAAGCTACTGCGATTGGGACCTGTAATTCATATCTTCTTCTTCTTCTTCTTATGTTTTGGGTGAGCAATCGTTGTAACCTGCGGACTTTGGATTTTATAGCTCAGTGTTTATTCCTTGCCATTAGAGATACGTTCCTTTTTGTGTACTGTATAAAGAGTTTGAAGTCACTAAAATAGCATGTCTATCCATATCATTTGATGGAGAGACTCCTTCCTTAATCTATAAATACACGTACAACTTGAATCCAATAACATATCGATCAATCAATCAATCCCCGCTATGAGAGGTACTGTTAGAAACCGAACAGAAAAATTAGGGTTACCGATCTGGCTGAGTCGCGGACTAGGTCGCTCTCTTTAAGACGTTCGCGGCACTGCCTTCGTTGCGCACGGCAGACTATCAGCCGGTCGCCTCCAGGATAAAACAGCCACTCTTATTTTGTTGCTCATCGATTTTGTGCGAAAACCGGAGCTCTATGAACTCACTCTGTATCTCGTGTTTTTGCTCTCTGAGGTGTGTTTAGAGGGTTTGGGGCGTCTCCTATTTATAGGAGCAGAAAACCCAGAATATTCTTTCTTTCTTTGGGAATAAGTCATAATTAATTAGGGAGATAATTACTCCCATAATTAAAATATATTATATTAGGATAATTAATTCTAATTATCTCCATAATATTCTTTTTATTTATTATCCTTCTATTTTCGTATCTAGAAAGAATACTGGATAATTAATTCAATATAGCTTTCAAAGCTATTCTTTCCCAACAATCCCCCACTTGAATAGTTTTGAAACTATCTCTGAGCATCAACAGATCCATAAGATCGGGCATAAGCTAAGGTATCGCGAAGATTTGAACCTTAGCGTAGTGGTTACACTTCCGATTTCATAAGGGTGACTCGTAGTCTTGAACCCTATCTCAGACAATGTAGCACACCGGATCTTTTTATTGAGTGATATTCTCTCATAGGTCGTGCGTTTATGGCCATGCACGTTATCCCGGTTTAGTGAACGCTCTAGCAACTTTGTGCCTCCAAAGTTCCATAGAGAGCGGCCCCACTCCCACATTCACATAGGTGAGTCTATCAGAAGTACCCCCAAAGTAAAGTACTTCACTCCACATAGAGTATAGATCTCATTAAGAGTTTAACTCAACCTCCAAGGCTTTGGGATTCATGCTTCACTATGCATGAACTTTTCTCAATATTACTCATGACTTGTTATTACCCATTGAACCCGTTTCTTGGGATCTCCCGTCTATCGGGTCGGGTTACCATCACTTGTAATCCATGGTTTGGTAGGCATAAGTCTCATACCCTTCGTGGTATTTTAGACTTTCGCTCTAGCTAGTCCTTTCGTCAAAGGACCAACTAGATTCTTTTATAATCTCAAGTTCATCCTTTCGTCAAAGAATAAACTAGATTCTCTTTTAAGTGATCCACCCTTACTGCTCCAACAGTTGGGGACTCTCTCTTCCAGTACTGTTCTCATGACGAACTTGTCGCCTCTCACCATTTGTTATGGTTCTATTTAGCAATTGCTATCGCAATGGATCAATACCGGCGGATACGGTCTTTCCCATAAGGGAATCTCTAGTAATGACCCTCTCAATCAACTTTCTTCTTTACTAGCCATTGCTAGTTCTATCATATCTGATTCTATAGTTGATTGAGCCAAGATCGTTTACTTCTTTTTCTTAGACTTCCAAGACACAACTTCTCTATCGATGTTTAAAACACATCCTCTTGTTGTCTTGGAGTCCTCTATAGGGTATTCTAATCCGCATCACTATACCCTACCAATACAGCAAAACCTTTGATAACAAATACCAAGGTTTTTCTGTTATTTTAAGGTGTCTCATGACCCCTTTCAATAGCATTTCAATGCTTCATACTAGGACAATCAGTAAGCCTGCCAAGCACCCCCACTATGTCGGGTCTCATGTTTATCAGCTGCCTCTCGCAGACTGTCGATGCTAGTATGTTCTTACTTTCTTACATCGTCTTTGGTGCTCTTAAAAATTATACTAGCACCATCAAACATTTATGCAGGTGTAGAACTCGTATTTCCTCTAGATCTAACTGTTTAGTTAAACTGATCTAGATGAAATCTCTTTCATTGTCCTAGTAATCTGGATCTCCGAGCATAAACTTGCTTCATCCAGATCTTTTTACCTTCATAATTCTCAACCAACATGGTTTTTCATCATATTGACATCACGAGTCTTTGTACCAAAGATCGAAGTGTCATTCATAATGCAAGTGTCATTCTCAAATTTGTACTAAATGCACTTGTCACTTTCATTTTAAAACCATGAGGGAGATCCAGTTTATTCATGCCATCGTCTTAGAGTCTATTTCAAATCTTACAATGATTTGTCTAACTATAGACTCCCTAAGCATGTTCAGGAATAACAACCCTATAGGTTGTCCCATGTAGATTTTCCTATCTAAATCACCATTCACAGAAACATGTTTAACAATCCATCTGACGCATAACACTAGCAATAACAAAAAAATTTACAATTTTTCCTTTTCGCTTAAAGCCTTAGCTATTAGGCGATCCTTATACTCATAAACTAAACCAATAGGTTTCACTTTTCTTTTAAGAATCCATTTATTACCCATGACTTCATTGCCAAGAGGTAATTCTCAAAGATGCCAAATCTTGTTCGATTCTATCGATATATTACCCAAGGCTTTTCAACCAAGAGGTAACTCTACAAGATTTTAAGTCTTACTAGACTCCACAAATTCCATTTCGTTAATAATGGATTCTCCCACAAATCTACATCTGTATGGAAGTTCGAACGTCTAGCAGACTTGTAGGATCTCTTCTTAGGGTGTAAATAACAAATTCATAACCAAAATCCTTCAATGATTTATGGTTCATTTGTCTCTTCTGAGTTCATACCCAGATTCATCACCCCCACTAGTTATCCATTATTTCTAATGGTAGGCAGGATATCACCCCCACTATATCTTAATATAAATGGAATCTTTTGGCATCAATGGTTTTCACAAACTAATGAGTATTTCGTTTCATAGGCTTATGTGTTTTACAATAACTTAGACACTCATATGCTCTTCTAGTTATCATGTCACTGATTCTCTAACGCTACCACATGCATGCCACATATCGAATAATCAGTGCAATCATAATGCAACTAGGCATTTCAAACTATTTTGAATAACTAGTTAGACAATCAGAGCACTCTAAAGAGCAATAAATGATTTATTGTCTTTCCATCATGTTTATCCATATCAAATAAATAAGATCTTTCGATTCTTCACTACATGATATGGGAATACGACCTTAGATATTATAATTCTTCACAATGACGCACATGCCACATAGAAGAATTCATTTAATCTACTTAATCACTCCTTACATCTAGCATAGTCAACGGCTTTCTAGAGGTAAGGTTCACTTCCACTTTCATAGAACCATCAACAATAGTGGTGAGGGTCGTGCCCAACAACACTTTCTCCTTCAATACGCCTCAATGCATGATTGAGCTTAGCTACTTTATCAAATGCATGCTTTGAGGCGTCAATATCCAACCACCATTTTTTTAGAATTGTCATTGAGGCCTATCACCCCATTAGTGATTATTACCACCAAATCCTCTTATTTAGTCAAGTTAACACTAGGTTGACTTGTTCTTACACTTTCGTGTCTTATGACCTAGTTTCTCACAAATTTAACAGAGAAACATAGCGTCATTCTTAGAGGATTGGGTGAGAATCTTATGGTTACCACAAAGGGTACCATTCTATTTGGTATGGATCTGGTTCGGCTTGCTGCTCTCATTCTTGAAACTTTAATGTTTCAGAGCAGCCTAAGTGGTTCGTGTAGTACTAATAATAGTACTTCTTACAATATCGTTATTATGGGCAATAAACCCATTCTATTCCCATATATTCTTCAATGCACACATTTAGACAAAATCATATATTCTTTCCATAGCATGTATTCAATTTATACTCTAATCATCGAGCCTCAATGCATGAATTCAAGCTTTCATTCTAGCATTCATAACCTTTCTCAATTTCATGCATAAAACCGTATGACAGAGATTCTATTTGTCATTTATTAATGACCCACGAGTAAGATTTCGATTCTTACCTTTCGCCGAGAAACCATTGCTTTCAGCCTTTTAAAGCGCATAGCTTCTTTGTTTCTCGTCCTTGTTCCTTCCATATTGCCTTTGATGCTACAACCTTGTATCCTTGCTTTATGGCATTCGGTCATCGCTACCATGACAACATCTGCTTCTCTTAGGAGTTTCCAAAGCTTAGCCTGTGCCCCCCACTCTTTGCTCCATAAGGGTTACTACAAGCTCTCGATCCAACTATATCATAAATATAATTCAAAGGCTTCCTGGTAAGATTTTTAACATTTTCTCATAAACGTTGTTTTCCCTCAATCAAATAATAAAAGGATAAATCAGAAACACAAACGTTAAATAGGAAAAATAGAACCAGCAAAATTATTGATTCTCATCACGAGCTGGAAACCACAGGGGACCCTGTTCTTCCTTGGGACAAGTGACCCAACGACTTTTGCTTGTGGGTTTTGGACAAAGCAATTCATTGGACCCACTGTCTATCAATGAAATCAGTTGGGTTTGTGATTTCATGGCCAAGCAATTCTTTTCTCCCTTGATTTCATGGCCAAAGTAATTATCTGCTCCCATTATGCTTTGCGTCACTCATGGTAGTGATAATGCAAACAATACCTGCAACAGCTAACAGACAAAATCCAGGCATATATATATATATCTTTATTGACATATATCTGTTGGCTAAATTGTAAGTTTGGTCACTCGAATTGCTACAAAATTTCACGTTTGGTCACTCGAATCCGTTTATTCCATTCGTAGTCACTTAAATTAGCTTAATAGTCCAAGTTTGGTCACTCTCCGTTAACCTCCGTCAGACTCCGTTAGTGCCGTCAGTTAACTGCTGACGTGGCTAATAGAGATGCCTAGTCACCCAATTTTAACCCAAGAAAAAACAGAAATTGACCCGCCACGTCAGAAAAACATGTCACCTCATATAAACACAACTCAACTCACCCAACCTAAAAAAAACCATTAACCCACCCAGAAATTGAACCCGTGACCCATCCACCCTTCTTCTTCTTCCTCTATACCCTGCTTCCGCCGCCCCCGGAGGAACCAAAAAAGCCGGTTCTTCGCCATGGTCCAACAGAGGAATTCCCCAAGAAAAATACGTGAAGCCGAGCAGGTGGTTGGTAATTAATGGCGTTACGCCTATTATCGCCAACGTCTTCCATCACAACAATCACCCCCCTCAATGCCATCCCGAAACTCGCCCCTCACTCCTCATCTCCATCTCGTCACAATTACAAATACCAAACTCCACGAAATGGAAGAGGATTCATCAACTGCAAGGCCGTCATCGACACCTCCCAGACTTACAGAGGCGTTTATGGTCCCTGGAGAGTCGAAGACTCCGACGTCCGAGAGGTAATTAAAGCTTCCAAATCCCACTTCGCATTTTCCTCTGTATTTAGTTGGGTCGTCCTTCAATTTCCTTACTTTTGCCCAATTTGGGAACTTTCAGGTCGGGTTGTACAGGGCGGGACTAGTGACGGCAGCTACGTCGTTCGTGGCTGCTGCATCGATGGCGTTTCTGCCGGGTGTTTCTTCTCCGTTGAGCTCAGCAATCAAACAAAACCTCGACGTTCTTTACAGCGTGGGAGCTGGTAGGCTGGGAAGCAGGGTATAGAGGAAGAAGAAGGGTGGATGGGTCACGGGTTCGATTTCTGGGTGGGTTAATGGTTTTGTTTAGATTGGGTGGGTTGGGTTGTGTTTATATGAGGTGACATGTTTTTCTGACGTGGAGGATCAATTTCTGTTTTTTCTTGGGTTAAAATTGGGTGACTAGGCATCTCTGTTAGCCACGTCAGCAGTTAACTGACGGCACTAACGGAGTCTGACGGAGGTTAACGGAGAGTGACCGAACTTGGACTATTCAACTAATTTAAGTGACTACGAATGGAATAAACGAATTCGAGTGACCAAACGTGAAATTTTGTAGCAATTCGAGTGACCAAACTTGCAATTTAGCCTATATCTGTTTCATCTCTTTCGTGAAATTTCCCAGCCGCATTCTCTTTGCTTCCCCAATGCAAAGACAATAAGAAACCACCCGGCCGGCCTCGTTGTTCGATATTATCCACCGCTACGAAGAAACCCAGAGAGCCAACAAACCTTCTCTTATCCTGAGTTTCTTTGGTTACAGCGGCTGAGGCTTGTGTCGCGCGCCACGGTTGGGGTTTGAAGCCAGATACGATAATTGAAACCAATCTGTTCGGTACATATGACAGCAACTAAACGTTTTAAAATTGTTAGAAACCGAACAGAAAAATTAGGGTTACCGATCTGGCTGAGTCGCGGACTAGGTCGCTCTCTTTAAGACGTTCGCGGCACTGCCTTCGTTGCGCACGGCAGACTATCAGCCGGTCGCCTCCAGGATAAAACAACCACTCTTATTTTGTTGCTCATCGATTTTGTGCGAAAACCGGAGCTCTATGAACTTACTCTCTATCTCGTGTTTCTGCTCTCTGAGGTATGTTTAGAGGGTTTGGGGCGTCTCCTATTTATAGGAGCAGAAAACCCAGAATATTCCCTCTTTCTTTGGGAATAAGTCATAATTAATTAGGGAGATAATTACTCCCATAATTAAAATATATTATATTAGGATAATTAATTCTAATTATCTCCATAATATTCTTTTTATTAATTATCCTTCTATTTTCGTATCTAGAAAGAATACTAGATAATTAATTCAATATAGCTTTCAAAGCTATTCATTCCCAACAGATACTACTGAAGCTCAAGTTGAATCCATCCAATAACAACGAAGATCAACTTCTTCATGACGACGACTCCATCAACTGCCGTCCTCATCATCGCGACGGTGCTGCTCATCTTTAGCGACAGCATTTTCGTCGTCGTCGTCCCCAACAGCGCCTACAACACAGACAAGATCGACGGCGACTGCGGCGTGCTGCTTGGTTCCCTCGACATCAACAACAAGATCATAACCCTAGCACTGAAATCCATGGACGCCGCAATTGGTTTAACAGCCAACGACAACCCCAATATCTGCGCACGTGCTGTTGCTGTCGATATCTTGGTCTTCGCTGCCGCCAACTGTTCCGATCGGATATCTAACGACGAATGCAAGCTCTGTCTCTACAACGCGCAGTTCCGAGTCGTCGACCAGTGCGTTGGTAAGGTCGGAGGTTGGCTCGTGCTTGTAGATTGTTTCGTGAGTTATAGCCGCGATCCATTCGTCCTCTGTTAACCATTTTTGTAATTTATTAAATTTTATTAAATTATTAATATGATAAATTATATAGACAAAATAAGTGCAATGATGAGGTGGAAAGAAATTTTTTTTTATTTTTTATTTATTTCCATTTCATCTAGTTAACGGTCAAACTTTATAGTTGACTGCCACGTAGGACAAACTTAACGGAGTGTAACGGCCGGTGACCAGCCGTGAAACGATTCGTAAAGTTAGTGACGAATAAGAAAGAAAAGTAATTCGGGTGGCAAACGTGAAAGATTTGTATAATTTGAGTACCCAAACGTGTAATTTAGCCTCGCAATGAAATGAGGCAAAATTTCACAATACGATTATGATATTCAACAGTTCAACATTGTGGCCTCCCAAAACTGATTTAGTGGCAACGTCTACATTGGCAAGACATGACTATGAATTTTCCATACATGATTCATTTTGAGCTTTCTATGTATAGGCTTGTAATGAGGGCGAAAACAAGTGGTAAAGAAATTGATACAATAAGGGATGGACTTTTAAACTACAAAATCTGCATCAGATACTTCAAAGACTTTATGCATGCCTATTGGGTTTACACCAGGCTTGAACGAGCTTCCTTCAATGTACCTGTAAAGTGATAGAAATTCAGAAAATTTTCAAGACATTTTGGCTGTCAGAATTCAGATATGTGGAAGTATAATGCTCTATAATGTAGCATCAGAACTCACATCTCTTTCAAGAATGGATGTCTATAGAAGGCTTCAGGAATTCTTCCTGTGAATTGATTGTGATCTAGGTACCTGCAATTAGATCACCAAAACATAGAATCACGCTTAACAAAAGGGATCCCTACTGCATAAAACATAAATCCAACTCCTTCTGTCCTCCCCATTTACTATCTTAGAAGCATGTCTCAGACAAACTAATCCATAGATGAAGCAACGTAAAACCCAGAGAGTACTACTTACAGGTAGGTCAATTTCGGGATGTGAGCAAGTCCAACAGGTATTACTCCAGTCATTTTATTCGAAGACAGGTGCCTGCAAGAAACAAATCAGGGTAAGATGAATCTGGAAGATAATCTCAACTCAGCTGAAGCAAACATGGAAAGACACTCATTCAAATTGCTAGCTAAACTAAACATCAATTCTTGCATTGAACTTACAAGATCTCCAAGTTTGTCAAGTTAGCAAGCTGAGCAGGGACTCCTCCAGTCAGATAATTGTTGTTCAGATAGCTAGAAGGACAGCAAAGTATATGCAAATGAGTCACATTCGCAGTTCATATAGGGCACCACAAAAGAAACTGATTAATTATTGTCAATATCAAATGTACTTACAGGTTGCGAAGGGCAGGGAAGCAACCTTCAATACGTATAAGTTCCCTGATGGTGCCCACCAAATGATTGTTGCCAACATCTCTGCACAAAAGAAAGCACATATAAGCCAAGCTTAACACAGCATAGAAAGAATAGCAAGAGTTGGTGGCAACGTACAAGTGACGAAGGTTCTGCAACGTTCCCAATTCTGCAGGAATTCGCCCAACAAACCGATTTTCTTGCAAGTAAAGGTACCGGAGCTCGGGAAGATTAGCCAGCTCCCTTGGAATCTCTCCTTTGAAGTTATTGAAGCTCAAATACCTGCAACATTCCACATCTTACCTTAACTTGCACGGAGGGGGAAAGGGTCTTATAATTCCAGCAAAGGAGTGAAAATGTTCTACTACTCACAAGTGTGTCAAACTCTTGAGTTCACCAATTTCAGGAGGAATGGAATCTTGCAATTTGTTCCACCTCAAGTTCCTATTAACAAAAGCAAACAAGGTCACACCACGAATCACTCAAAACTATTCCAGGATTTGCAAAAAACAGATCAGAAAGCAATAAGAGGGGTTATACAGTATCTTGAGACGCTTCAATCTTCCAATCTGTGGAGGGATTGGCCCAGTCAGCTTGTTGTTATGGAAATCCCTAATTTTGCAGAAACATTTCCAATTTCAGAAAGCCAAATGCAAGCAATATAATCCAACTCATGAAACAAACAGAGGAACATAGCTGGAGCCCTTTACAATTGAAAGAACACAAGCTAGCGAATCGAAATTCCAAGCAACGAGAGCTTACAATCTGGTGAGATCCAACAGATTAGTCACGGCAGTAGGAAACGGGCCAACGATCGACACGGCATACACTTCCCTGCAAATCAATCATCATTCAGAAACACATTCCCCTCAATTACGAACACAAAACTGCCCCAAGCTCTGAAGGAGAGAAATGAGAAGCAATCTCACAATTCGGTAACGACTCTGTAGTCTCCTTGAGTGGAGCAGGTGACGCCGGACCAAGGCTGGAGGCCGTCGCCACCGCAGGGATCGTCGCCCACCCAAGCGTACACCACTCTCCACCCGAGCGACGACTTGATCTCGTTCAAAGCCTTGACTGCACCAAAACGAGAAACTCAGATAAGTTGCCAAAAGTAGTGCGTCGGTGCCGGCGGGGGAAGTTAGATCTGGAGATTACCGTCGCGTTTGAGGGTTTTGGAGAGCGCGTGAGTGTGGAAGAGAGCGAAGGTGAAGAGAAAGAGGAGGAGGTTGGCGGAAAGCGATCGACGCGCCATTGTTGTGGGGGAAAGGGTCGCAGCTCGCTTGGGAAGAAGATCGCGCGAACAGACTGCTGCTAGTATTAGTGAAGAAATGGGATTTACTAATTTTCCTATTTTTCTTTTTTTCCGCCTCCAGTTGTTCTCATTTCTTTTTGCTTTTTCTTTCTTCAGATAGCTAACGCGGATTGGCAGAGAAGGATGATGCAATGGAATAATGGAAGCCAAGCCAGGCAGAAGAATGTGCTTCAGCGTCACTGGCTTCAGACCCTTTTTCTTTTTTGTTGTCTAAAATTTAATACGAAAATCAAGCTTCAATCATGGTATTAGCGTTATAGTTTCAATTAATCTAGTGATCATTTGGTGTTGGTTAGCAAATTATAGTTTCAATTACTACTCACAAAGTCATGGGAACCATCTGTATATTTAATAGTGAAATCAGCGCACATTATTTTCTTCTTCGTACTTTTTTAATCTAGTTACTTATATTTTAAATTTGTATAGACATTAACCAGATGTAATTGACATTATCGAATTCTTAGATACCAAACACTTTATGAAAAATAACATCCAACTTGTGTGCTATCATTCAAGATTCATAACACGAGGAGGATGATCAGGTTCCGTACTAATAAGGACTGCAGTTGTTATTGTTTTGCTAAATATTGGGTGATCCTTTGATTCTCTTACATACGTGCACAATCAAACATTACTATATATAAAGGTGAAGTGTAATTCCTGTTGCATAAAAAATTACTAATTAGTCACTATTTAACAATTTAGATTTTGATACTCCAAATTACTATATATAAAGGTGAAGTACAATTACTGTTGCATAAAAAATTACCAATTAGTCATTATGTAACAATTTACATTTTGATACTCCGAATTACTATACATAAAGGTGAAGTGCAATTACTGTTGCATAAAAAATTACTAATTAGTCACTATGTAACAATTTACATTTTGATACTCCAAATTTAATTTTAATGTAAAGTAATATTTTGGTATCTAAATTTTATGAGATTTTCGTACCTATAATTTTTTAAATTTACATATTGGTTCAATGTTTAGATTTCATTTAAATCCACGAATCCAATTCACCAATCCTTTCGAACCAATCCATGAATTCAATCCACCATAACACACAAGTATAAATTTAGTTTGTA